GAGGAGGGAGAGGAGGGAGAGGAGGGAGAGGAGGGAGAGGAGGGAGAGGAGGAGGGAGAGGAGGCAGAGGTGTCCCGGGTACAGAGCGAGGGACTGGTCCGGATGGGTCAGGCACTGTGTTCACACTGCTTAGACACTCAGGCCCCGGCAGGAGCTGGGCAAGACAGGCCAGACCCTGAGATACCCAGTTCTGTAACCACAGAGTCAACAATCACAGAACAAAAATACTTGAAAAAAGAAAACAACAACAGCCCCCTACCACACAAAATCCAATTACAGCTGCAGGTTTTTTTCTTATCATCATCCCCTGTGTGTAACAGTACACACAGGGCATGGTGCTGGCTAGTTTCATGTCAACATGACACAAGCTAGAGTCCTTTGAGAAGAGGTTTGGAACCACAGCTGAGAAAATGCCTCCATCAGACTGGCCTGTAGGCCGTTTTCTTGATTGTGATGGGTGTGGGAAGGTCCAGCCCATTGTGGGCAGTGCCACCCCCCGGGCAGGGGTTCCTATCTGGCATAAGAAAGCCTGCTGAGCAAGCCATGGGGAACAAGCCAGTAAGCAGCACCCCTCCACAGCCTCTGCATCAGCTCCAGGTCCCTGTCCTGCCCGAGTTCCTGCCCTGACTTCCCTGACACTGGACTACAAGCTAGAAGATGGAGTAAACCCTCTCCTCCCCAAGTTGCTTTAGGTCATGGTGTTTATACAGCACAGAAACCCTAACTAAGACACTGTACTAGGGGTCACATGTAACCTAGAGATGACTCAGTGGGTACGGGAGGTGTGCACAGGTTAATGTAATAAAGGACTCCTGCATCTGTAGTGTTGGTATCTCCAGGGGGTGTGGGAACCAACCTCCATGGATACCCAGGGACAACTATGGCCTCGGCCTCCACCCGTCTCCTTTCCCAGCTGTGAGCAGATGTCCAACGGGGTGCAGCCACACACCGGGACAAAACAAGGGGTTCAGAGAGAAGCAAGCCACCCCAGAGAGGGGACACTCTGAGCAACCACCTGCTTTCTCAAGAAACTCAGGCTGGTCCCTCCCTGTCCAACTGCGATCCCAGAGAAAACACACTGGGCCAGCTCTGACCGCAGTCACCACAGGCAGCCTCCATGCTTAGCCACAGAAGCGGCGCAGCCAAGAGAACAAATGGAGGCGGGTGGGGGTGGGGTGGGGTGGGGTCGGCATTCCCACGTAAAGCAGGGAACAAAGGGGAGAAGAGCCATTCTGGAAGCAAGACAGGCTCCGTGTGTGAGAGGCCCCCCTGCGCCCCTCCTGCATACCAGGAGCCCACCCCACACCCCTGCCCTACCCAGACTGCGCCCTCCATAAGACAAGAGTGTGACTTTCAAACTCTCTTGTCCTAGGGACTCAGGGTGTGAATAAAGAGTGACATTCTAGCCCTGAAATGTCACGAGCGTAAGCTGGACACGGCTACATCTCCCAGTCTAGAGATAGCTTGCCCTCTGTGGCCACAAGACCAGACCCAGCACATCCCATGCAGACTCGAGGATGGCATCTTAGACACAGCAGCCATGAGGACACAGGTGTCCCTGCTTATCACACACGACCATTCCTCAGTTTCTCTTTTGCGTTTACTTGACACCAGCTCTTAGGTAGCCCAGGCTGGCCTCTAACGCTGATTCTCCTGCCTCAGCCCCCAAGCCGGCACACGCCTCTATGCCTAGGTTCTTTTCGTATAATCCTCTACATGGCAGAGGCAGGTTTTGGGCTCCCGACAAACATCTCCTGTACACCAGCCACTTACCAAAGTGAGGAGGGCAGAGGGCTTCTGTGAGGTCAGGACACTGGCAATCTGGAAATCAAAAGAAAACCCACTTTAGAGCGGTGTTAGGGAAACGTCTCGGACAGACTCATGTGTTAAGTGGCTAGACACTGTTTTGAAGGCCGCAAATCCTTTAGGAGGTGGGGTCTGGCTGGCAGAAGCAGGTCTGTTGAGATGGGGACACTCACCACCACATGCTCCTGCCGTCACAGACTGCACCCATGATGGCTGAAGCCCTCTGACCCAGACCTAAAGCAAACCTTCCCTTCCTAAGATGTCCCTCTAGGTATCTGTCACAACAACAAGCAACTCGTCCCAGCATCAACAACGTGATGGAGACAGCACACCATCGCTACCCAAGGACGACAGCGCTCATCTATGGCACACCATCGCTACCCAAGGACGACAGCTCTCATCTACGGCACACCAGCACTACCCAGTGACGACAGTTCTCATCTACGGCACACCATCGCTACCCAAGGACGACAGCGCTCATCTATGGCACACCATCGCTACCCAAGGACGACAGCTCTCATCTATGGCACACCATCACTACCCAGTGACGACAGATCTCATCTACGGCACACCATCACTACCCAATGACGACAGCTCTCATCTACGGCACACCATTGCTACCCAAGGACGACAGCTCTCATCTATGGCACAGGTACCACGGCCACCCCACTCCTAAGATGAGGAAGCTGCAGCTCAGAGAGGCGGATGGGCTCCAGAAAGCCCTACAGCTATCTATAGAAGAGAGGGTGCAAAGCTAAGCCCGGCACAGCCCTCGTCACGAGACCTGCCTCCAGGTACCACACAGATCCCTGGCTCCAAACAGCCAGACCTGCCCACCCTCAAGGCCGGCAATGGTGTGCAGTTTCCCTGTCCTTCCTGAAGGATCCATCCCATTAGACACCAGCCCCAGGAGCCTCTCATCTTCAGGGCAGATGCCTCCCTCCCTGCCTGCCACTCATCTCCCAGACTAAACCGAGGGGAGTTAATGTTCCTTAACTCCACTCTGGCTTCCACGCCCACCTCCTCAGGCCACTGCCCTTGCATGCTGAATGCTTCCTCCCCAGTACCCAGAGTGAGAGGACACAGGCTTGCCTGCTCACACCTCGGCTCACTTTCACTGATGGCTGGGTCATCTCCCACCATCTTGACTACTCCAACACATCCTACTTGGCTGTGAGTCCCACCCCAGCTCTGCAAGCAGGTTCAGTCACTCCCTTCTCTACCCACCCCCAGCTGACTGTGATCCATCCCCCACCCCACCCTGACAAAGCACCCATCACCCACCAGCTAGGAAACCTGCACCCCAGAGTGCTGACCACCTTGCTGGGAGCAATCTGGCCCTCTGTCCGGCTGTACACAGTCATGCTCCTCACCCCAACCATAAGTTCTCTGACACCCTCACCACAGAAGAAGAAGGTGGGCTGTTGGAACAGACTGGCTGCACTATGGCTGAAACACCATGCTGCACATATTTAAGGTGATACTTTGATAGGCTTTGACATAAGTATACACACTTTTCAATACTAAAAGGCTCCCAGAGAAGAGCTGAAACATATTGAAAGCCATGAAAGAGAAGATGCACCTGCCATCCCCAGAGACAGTTCAGCTCTGTGCATAGAAACAGAGAACTGTAATGACATTTGGATCATATGAAATTATATGCTCCGCTTATTTCCTGTCATTAAATATTCTTCAAACATGCAATTTTTAGCAGTCACTACCGCTGGGGATGGAAAACGTTCAATAAGTCTTTGATTATAGCCCACGTCAGTCATCTTGCACACATCACCTCACTTAACCACCGTGAGAATGCTGCTACCGATGTCCAGGACTCACAGATGGAAACGGCTTGTGAGGGGGCTAAAGGACTTGCCTAAATTCAGCTAATCAGCAGCAACGCCAGGACAGACGGGATGGCACAGTGACCGAGGGCTCTGGCTGCTCTTCTAGGAGAGCCAAGTTGCCCGTATCAGTTGTCCCACAACCACCTAGAATTCCAGCTCAGGGGAATCAACACCCTCTTCTGGCCTCCTCCGGCATCCACACACATGTGGAACGTACGTACGTACACACATACACACACACACTCTTTAAAAGGAAATAGCAAAGCCCAGAATTTTAACATGTGGCTATAGAAAACTCTCTCTTAATGGAGTCAATATCATTTACTTAATCTCTCCCTCTGCTGGACATGTAAATTATTTCTAATGATGAATTATTATAAATAATGCTGTGTGAGCATCCTGGCATATATAATTTTATATATAATTTATATATATTTGCATATATAAAAATTATGTTATTTGAAGGGTTTTTCTGATATGGTATGGTGGCTCACATCTATAATTCTATTATTTGGGAAGTTGAGACAGAAGGATCGTGAGTTTGAGGTTAGCTTCAAATACTCAGTAATCTCAAAAGAAAAAGAAGTTTATTTAAAAAACAAACAAACCAACAAACCCAAGTGAGCAGGCATAATAGTACGTGCCTGTTTTCCCAGAACTTGGAAGAAGTAGGAGGACCATAAGTTCAAGGCTAGCATAGACTCCATGGGACCCGGCCTTAAAATGAAGGTAAGGACAAAGGGATGGAGGGGTAACAATAAAAAGAAAAGAATTTAGAAACCAAGTGACCCAGCTGAGAGGGTCGAAGGTCAGTATTCCACGCCATCCATGGTCTAGCCATCTGGGCAGGAGACAGTGGCTCCCAGGTGCAGCCTCCATCTCCCCTCACTCAGGAACCACTTGGAGAATGACTGAGCCCCTCGGCCTCTGTGTGGCACAAACGGAGGCTTGCCAGTCCCTTCCTCCCGCCTGCTCCTCCTGGAGGGGAGGGAGGCTCATTAAAGCCAACAGAGCCGAGTGTGTCAGGCCCTGGGTGTGTTGTTTCGGTGACATGAAGGGTCTACATTCATCAGCACACAACGATGCTGTCAATTACAGCGGCAGAATCAGAGAGCGAGGAGGCACTTGGGGATTGTATCTGCTATTGTCCTTGGGAGAGAGAAGCTGGATAACAAATGTGCGGGCTGATGGTTTTTCTCTCCGCAATGACTCTCTGGACATGCTGGTTAGGAATAATGGAGGAGAAAACCCCCTCGCTGCAAGCCTGACGCTCAGATGCATGGAGGCCGGATACCGAGAGCAGGCCAGGCGTCGCTGCGTCCTGGCAGAGTAACATCTTTTATTGATCACAGCTGCTTGAGTGGGCCCTGGTTACCTCTGTGGCTGCAGAACTACTCCCAGCCCAGCAGCTCCATCTGCCTTCCCCACGGAGACCCATTAGTGGTACGCTCATCAGCACACCGACTGGAGGCCATGCCTCAAAAATTAAGGGAACAAGATGCGGTTCTGTGTCGCTGGCTCCAAATGTAGCCCCAGGACTGGACAGCACAGCTCTAACAGCCCCAGGCCTCACTTCCAGGAGCGCACGCCACAGGGGACTCCTCTGTTCTCCCCAGTGGGGCTGTTAAAAGCCCCTGCCTTGCTGCAGGCCACGGCCAGCATCCATCTCCCAGCAGCCCTGACTAGGTGGACAGGAACCTGAAGAATTTATCAGGCCTGTACACCCAGATCCTGCCCTGGGGACAATCCAGAAGCTTCCCAAGGGAACCTGACACGGGCTCCTGACCAGGACTCTGACCAAGCCAGTGAGTCCCTCTCAACAAAGGAATTAGACACGCTTCAACTGTGCTGCTAAGAAAGTCCACGTGGCCCAGCACGCAGGGATCTGCCCTCCCACACGGAAACTCTTGAAAACAAACCATTATTCATGGCAGTTTCCCAAAACACCAGTGCACACCAGTGGCCTCAAGTGCCCTTAAATGTTTGAATCTGCTTTGAAAATGAAAATAGCACCAATAATATGGTGCCTGACTATTCTCGAACACACAGAGTATTAGCACCCCTCAGAACAAGGCAGCAATCGTGGCCCCATCACAGACCCCTCCCTCTACTGAAGCCTCCCATACCAAGGCTGAGGAGCAGGCAGCATCTGCCCCGGGCATCTGTGGCTGTTTCTCTTACAGCCTGCCTGCCTACAGCTGAGTAACTGACCCTGCGACCTTCACACATCTGCCCAGTGCCGAAGAGCAAGTGCAAAAATCACCTCCACCCTGCCAGCTCCCAGTTAGTTAGACATTAGCTTCTACATCAAGTGTACACAGCAATGCTGGGGAGCCCCTCCCAGGGGTCCCCAGAGTGACTCCTTCCCAGTAATTAAGCTCTGGCTCTTCTGTGAGGAGGAGGGAAACCAGGTCTATCATTGCAAACATCTGTGTTTTTCCTGTTTTTGAGACAGGATCTCATGGAGCCCAGGCCTTGAATTCACTGTACAGCAGAGGCTGATCTTGATCTCCTGATCCTCCTGCCTCTTAAGGGCTAGGACTACCGGCATGCACCACCATGCCTCATTAATGTGGCTCTAAGCATTGAGGCTCTGCTGACTGAGCTGCATTCTCTGATACCTGCATTTACTTTATGAGACATCAAGGATTGGGATCACTCCCACCCTTTTCAGAGCAAGCAAGCAGCTGCAGCCAGCTGTCTGGTTTACAGAGACGGCCAAGGATGGCCAAGGCTAGACAGGGCTGAGCACCATGGAACTGGCCTGAGTGCTGCCCACATCAGAACATGCGTCCAGCCCACGGCGCTCAATGCAGCAATTTGCTCCTTTTGGTGGGATTCGTCCCCAGTTTCAGGAAATCACAGGCCCTTGGAAGCCTGGGTCACTTCTGCACAAGCAAGTCCCCTGCACGTCAGCCTTTCACTTTTGACAGGCCAAGTGTGGAGCCGGAGGGGACAGCCTCTGGAATCTGGAGGCCTTAGGGTCACCCCAGTGCTGCCACACCCCAGCTGTGGGGCCATGGATGAGGCCTCTTACCTCTCAGTCCTGACCTTCTTGTCTGTAAATGGGGTTGGATCTGTAACTCACTGTGGGACAGGGTGGAAGGCATCACAAATGAGCAAGCCCAGAGTGAAGCAGCTGTCCTACTGTTGAGAGGAGCCCCTGCCTCCGGGAAGGCAGCAGTCACAGCTGGGGGTGTGGTTCAGTGGCACCAGCTAGCACGTCCAAGGCCCTCTTTTCTCTCTCTAGCAGAGAAATCAAAACCACAGAACAGCAGTCACGGTGATCAACAGAGCTGATCGATGATGATAATGATTCTGTTGCTCCTGCAGAGTGCTCCAGAACCCTAAAGAGGCTCTGCCCTTTGACCTCTATTGACATCTTCATTTAACACTCTGCCTTAAAAGATTAAGACGGCCTATGTGGCTGCCAGTCTACACCCTCACTAAGGACTTTCCTGCCGGACGCTTTCTCTTCCTCTACTGTCCTGCATCTGGAGGTCTGGTTCCTTTCCCCACAGTGTAAACGGGAGTTGAATTCTTCCCTCCCTCCAGTTATAAATGCAAAATGTCAACCTGTGAGGCTGCAGCCCAGAGAGGGTTCTTACTCAGCAGTGGGGGCCCAGCCACAGGCAGGACTCCATCTCACACTCCTGAGACAGGGCCTCTCCTAGCTCTCCCTCCAGGGGTGATTATGGGAGATCCCATGGTCAAGGCCCTAAAGGACAGTGACATGGAGATGCACTCTACAAGACTGGAGGGTAATGGAGACACACCTGCCAAAGGACAGCATCAGGAACAAGGTCAGGGTGAAGGACTCATCGTTCTTCTTTACCCGTAGAGATACAATGTACCAAACGACCTCATTAGAAGCATGTAAATAAACATTCAGTCTGTTACAGAGCCACACAAAAAGGGACCGGTACAACTGGCTGCATTATAACACCTTTAGATGTCATAGGTCACCCTTAAAGACTGATGCCATATGACACAGGCTCTCTCAAAAGCTGCCTCTCAATGTGTGGGGAAAGGAACCCTATACACTACAGGTATGGCTTCAAACGAGCGCATCCAATACGGAAATCAGTATGAAGGTCTTCGCAAAATAAGTAGCAGCCAGCTACACCACTCCCAGGTATATGGCCAAAAGTCAGCTGACTGCAGAGATTCTCCCGTGCCCACATCTGCTGTAGTACAATTCACAGCAGTAACATGCCATCAGTCTCGGTGCCCATCAGCCGACAAATGGAGAAGGAAGATGTGGTATACAACGGCATAAAGAAATGAAATTATGTCATCTGCAGTAGAGATCATCTTGTTAACAGGACTCAGAAAAGACAAACATGGTGTGTTTTTCCTCACATGCGGAATCTTGAGTTGAAAGAAAAGGGTAAGAAAGCAGAAGGGAGCTAGGCGGTGGCAGTGTAACCCTTTGATCACAGCACTAGGGGGCAGAGGCAGGGGGATCTTTGTGAATTCAAGGACAGCCCAATCTATAGAGTGAGTTCCAGGACAGCCAGGGCTAGGCAGAGAAACCCTGTCTAGAAAAGGAAAGTAGAAAGGGAACTGTTTGAGAAGATGAAGAAGGTCAGCACCAGGGGAGGACAAGCAGTAAATGGAGGTATGATCAAAGTACACAGTGTACATACATGAAAATGTAATAATGAAACTCATTCTTCTCTACAATGTATGTATACCATGAGGGCTAGAGAGATGAATAAGAGCACTTGCTGCTCTTTCAGAGGACCAGAGTTCAGTTCCCAGCACCCACATTGGGCAGCTCACAAGCACCTGTAACTCATAACCCCAGGAAATTTGATGCCCCCTTCTGGCCTCCATTGGTACTTCACTCACAAGCACATGCACACAGACACAGACACATACTTAAAAATAGTATTTTTAAATACACACTAATAATTATCAGAAACCTTGCAGAAAAAAAATAATAAACTGGGGGCTAGAGAGATAGTTCAGCGGTTAAGAGCATTTCTTCCAGAAGACCCGGATTTAATTCCCAGCACCCACATGGCAGCTCACAACTGTCTGTAATCCCAATTCCAGGAAATGTAACACCTTTACATAGACATATGTGCAGGCAAAACACCAATGCATGTAAAATAAAATAATACATTTTTAAAAATAATAAATTGCCTATCTCTCCATGGTGCAACAGGGCAAAGGCACTGCATATATGGATTGTGGCGCAAGTATATGAGTGTTCTCCTTCACTGAGGTTCTCCTGGGAACCTGACAGGGTTTAACTTTGCCTCAGTGACGTCATCTGTGAAGTCACTTCCTGTGCTATCCCATGCCCTGGGCTGCTGGGTGGAGCTCCGGGCCTAAATACCTCTGTACACCTCTGGGACTAGGAGGGAGAGTTCAGGAGACATGGCAAGGCCAACAACCAGGCTCTCAAGACAGAGATGAGACAAGAGAGGACCCGGTGCAGCTCAGAAGCCAGACAGTGCCAGTGTCCACAAGCTATCCCGAGAGCACCCACGGGGTCGGTGCAGGGCCTTGATTGATGGGGATGATAATCTGTGGGTGGGACATTCCAGGGCTACAGAACTCAAGGCAGGACCATGCTGCCTCTATACAGGATGGGGCTGAGGCTGGTCTGCCCAAGGTCAAGGAGAGTTGTCTGCCCCAGAGCAAGTAGGCCAGGTCAAAACGCTGAGCAGAGAGAGGCAGGCTCCTCACAGTGCAGTGTATCTGGCTAGGGTCCTCAAAAACCTGCTTCTTCACCTGGTGCCGTCACCCCAAAAGAGCTGTGCCCTGCCCAGAGGGAAGGGGGTTTCTGCTTGGTCTCCACTGGACAGATCACACGACCACCTCTACTCTGAGACCCCAGCCCTATCCTTCCAAGCTCCTCCCCTCTCCCACCTCTACCTCTTCTTCACCATGGTCTTTCGAAAGAAATTATTAATGTATATTCATAGCATAACACTGCGCATCATGATGATGTTTTCACGTATGATCTCATGTGCCTTTGATCATATTCCCCATTGTTCTTTCTGGTCTCCCCTCTCCCTCACAGGTCCCCATCCGCTTCCCAAACAATCCTTCTGCTTGTGCACCACACAAGACAGATAGGTTTTATCTAGAATTCAGACCAGCAGTTCTCTACCTGTGGATTACAACCCCTCTGTGGATCAAATGACCCTTTCACAGGGGTCACCTAAGATCATCAGAAAACACAGCTATTTACATTAGCATTCATAACAGTAGCAAAATTACAGTTATGAAGTAGCAATGAAAATAATTGTATGGTTGGGGGTCACCACAACATGAGGAATTAAAGGGTCACAGCATTAGGAAGGTTGAGATCCACTGATCCAGACTCTACATCTGAGGGCAAACCCGTGGCATTTGGCTTCTTTCCATTCACATGAAGGTCCCTAATGCCATCCAATGAAGTCACTTCCTGCAAGTGACTTCACAGCTGAATGATACTCCACTGTGTGCACACACCCCTTTTTTTCCTCTCCATTCATCTGTTAACAGGCATTTACGCTGCTTCCATAGCTTGGCAGCGCCAGCTCCTAGCATGTATCCACTCTCAAGCGTGGTCTGAGGCAATGTGGTCACAGTGCCCTGTCCAGCTGATCCTGCCAGGTCCAGGCTGGATCTCCAATGGCACGTGCTGACTTCTGTCCAGCTCTGACGTGCATAGAACATGGAGCTGTGACAGCATCCAGGGATGAACCAGAGAGGCCTCCTGTGTGCCGGTCAGTGGCCACAGAATCAGAAGGCTTTGCTCACTCAGACTGTAGCTCCTCGATGTGCTCCCAACTCTGCCTCAGCCCTGTTCTGTCAGCGGTGGAAGTTGAAAGAGCCCCTTTCGTCTTCCTGGACACGGGGCAGATTCACAGCCTCAGGACGACATTGATGTATTTACCCACACTACCTGACACTGCTGGGCGACCAGGCTGGAAGGCAGATTCAAGTCAAGGGACCCCCAATTCCTGTCCTCTCACGAGCCATTCACAACCTGGGGTTCTTCTGACAGCAGCACCTACAGCTAGTAAGGACTTATAAACAGTCCCCTCAACGCATGAAGGCCCAGAGCAAGGCCACTGTCAGCTCTGATTACACCTGTGTCCCTCTGGCAAGCATGCTGCCTCTCAGAAAGGGACCTCAGTGGTCACCATAACCCGACTGCCAGACACTGCTACCTGAGTCAGAAGCACTGCCCGGGCCAAGAACAGCGTCCTCAGTCAGAGGTGTCTGCTGCGTCTCCTCTGCTGCTCCTGCGGGGCACTGTCCCCGGACTGGCAGTGGAAGAAGCCAGGGCAGAGGGGTTACTGCCAGTCCAGGGCTGCTCAGGACGAGGCAGCGCCACATCAGCCACTTACCTCGTCCGTGTACTGGACATCGTCCACAGCGTACTTCTCCTTGAAATGCTCCTTGGAATGGATCCTCAAAAGAAAACACAACGAAAACCATGGTCAGGGCTTGGCGACGACTCAGTCTGGCCACCTTCTGCCTACCCAATGCAGGCCTTGAAGCCCTGGGTCCAGCCTGCAGTGGTGTGAGGATCTAGCACCAAGCAGGTATACCCAGCACTTGATAAAGGGTGCCGTCAGGTCACTAAGCTACCTCTGCTGCCCCTGGGATCCCTGACTCAGTTCACTACGCCCCCGACTGCCTGCAGCAAGCGCTGTGGGATACAGCCCTGCCTTCCACCGTCTCCCTCCATATCACTGACCTGCCGGGCAGCCAGCCAGTGTGCCTCACCCTCAGGGCCACAGACTAAGTGACCTCCCAGGCTGTACTTCTTGAACAGAAGGTCAGTAAATGAACACTTTAAAGAAGTCAATATCAGTGTTTCTCAATGTGACAAGGATGAGGAGAATGTAAGCTTAGTCATCAAACTTGGAAAATTAGCCAGGGAGATTAGCCAGGGAGAAAGCATGAAGTAGATGAGGTGAGAGAGCCCTCCCCCAGCTCTCGATGCTTTCTTCTGAATTCAGCAGGCTACCACCTTGTCCTGCCCCAGGTCCTCGGTTAATAGACTACATTGGGGGCGGGTGTGTGTGTGTGATGTCACCAGCCAGGTGCCAAGTCCAGAGATGTAACTATGCTATCCTGCACCACTGCACGCCTGGCTGCCACACACGGGGAGAGCCCCATCCCTTCTCATCCTACTGTGGCCTAACAGCAGGGGTCCCATCCATCAGAGGCCTCAGTCCAGTACAGAAGGTGGCCTCACATTCTACTTCCAGAGCCATGCTGGTGTGTAGACTGGGGGCGGGGGGTTCCTGGGAGTCCCAGATAGAACCAGGAGGAGACCCTCAGGGCTCCCCAGCCTAGGAGCCACAATGCAGCACTGCCTGGGAACCAGGCGTTCACGGTTCTCTCTGCTTTCCACCCAAACAAACAAAACTGGCTGTCAGAGGTGCAGGCGTCAAGACCGGGGCACCGGGAGGGCGGTGGAGGAGCAGTGAGAGGCTCACAGCCCAGGGAGAAAACCCACCTCAGGCCGAGGATCGCTGCGATCTCACAGAACACCCTCTGCTCTTTTCTGTCTCCTCCCTCCCTCCCTCCCTCCCTCCCTCCTTTCCTTCCTTCCTTTTCTCCCCTTTGGCCTCTGAAAACCTCACTGGGCATCAAGCTCTTGCCATGAATTACATTTGCACAATTCGGTCACATTAGCTTCGGCCATGAGACAGGACTCACTAGTTAACTGGCCAAGGCTGACACCTCCTTGGCAATGGCCTCAAGAGCTGAGGCAGGACATGTCACTTCACCTGGGTTCTGGGAGTCCCAGCTGCAGGCTGGAAAAGCAAGAGGCAGGGCCACCAGCAAAACAGCTGCTAAGTATCTTCATTCCCTCTCCAGCTGTGCCGCTCAGCCCAGCCCGACCTCCAATCCCAGTCACTGTGTCATCTCCAGTGGTGACAGGCATGAAAAGGAGACTCCCTACAGGTTCAGCCGCACAAACGTCTGACTCAGCCTCCAGGGCTCTGTGCAGAGGCTCAGGCCAGCCGCTAATATGGCGGCCTAACCTTTTCGTGTCCACTGCCATGGGGCACCTGAAGCCTCCCTCCAAAAAATGTCCTTTAGAGGGAAGCCACCAGGAAACATCTCCCTGTCCTTCCCTCCCGGGGAGTCTTACAAGTTAGGGTTCATCAGAGGCTTGCCACACCAGAGAAGCCTGGTGAAGTCTGCAGGCAGTAAGGCCCTAGTCAAGGAAGTGCCAGCAAAGAGGTGAACGTAGTGGGCTGTGACTAGGGGTGTCCCCATTGCTGGGTGCTCACCCACAAACCCCACACGGTGGTCATACAAATTCCTTCTGCATGGCTGTGATGAAATGCCTTACAGAATAGCCTAAGAGAAGAGTTACTGACTTGGGCTCAGGTCTTTTTGTTGCAGAGGGCTCGGTCTGTGGTTGCTCGGCTCCACTGATTCTGAGTTAACAGGGAGGCAGACCATTATGGTGGAGGGCATGTACAGCAAAGGCTGGTCCCTTTGTAGTGGACAGGAAGCTGACAGCAGAGACAGAGGTGCTTCCCCCCATCCCCCGCCAAGGACACATCCCCAGTGACCTATTTCTTCCAAAGTCTTCCTTCCTAAAGTTTCTGAAACTTTTCAAAACAGCACCACCAGGTAGGAACCAAGCATCCAATACATGCCCTTATGGGGGACAATTCACATTCAAACCACAGCGGTGGCCACAGCCATTCCACTGTCTGTGGATGGCCAGGTGGAGCAAAGGATGGCTGACCCCTAGAGGAGCCCCAACAGGAAGAAGTTGGCTCAGGTACCAGTCCTACCAAGTGGCCCCTGCCCAGTACTTGCTCTCCTTACAGAGGCAGCTGCCACAGTCTAGGCTGAGTGCAGACTGGGTCTCGAGGGCCACAAGCACCTCCTGTGCATCAAGGCTTGCCAGGACTAACCGCCAACAGAAATTATGAAGTGCTGGGAGCCTTTTGTCTGGGACTCAGCACATTACATTCTTCTTATAAAGGGCAGAGATAATTAAGTTTGAACAGTTCTTGCTTTTTCATGTTTGTGGGTTAATTACAGTAAAAATCATTTAAACGTTACCTGAAGGGATGTGTGTGCCGGGCTGCATGATCAAACCAGGCACGGAACACCTGGCAGCCAGGACTTGGTGGGGTTGTGACTTGGGAAGAGACATTGGCTGGGAAGGTCACTGGGAATCTCTGAGTGCTCTGAGGGTTGTGCTGGCCAGGACACAAGGAGGCTTCTTCGAGGGTCTACGCCCAGTCCCGGCCGGCATGTGGGGAGGAGCTGAGCGTGCTCAGACACTCCTCTATCAAGTGCACAGTGCAGTTCCGGCAGAAGACAGAAGCCCTCACTGGACAGGACACCCACCCTGGAGAGAGGATTTGTGTCCAGGCACTCAGGCCCACGCAGGTCTGCTCTGCCTGCAACTGGGCCCAGGCACAAGCCCAGAGTCAGAGTAGATGACGCCTGGTCACAGTGCCATGAGCCCCAAAGCCCTGTGTGAGGCCTCAAGTGAGAGGGAACCATTACACAAATGCCACATGATGGAGACATGATGGAACCCTCCAGAAAATGAAATTTTAAAGAGCGGGCCTTACTAGCCGGCTAGCTGACCACCTGCATGCAGGTAATGAATAAGTAATAAGGCCAAATGACAGCAGTAACCATCAGTTTGTGTGCCTGGCGCCTGGCGCCTGCCTTCAGCTCCAAACAATGCCGCTGCCTTTTATTCCGCTGGTGGCACAACACGGTGCGTGCAGAGCAGAAGTCAGCAACCATGTCAAGATGTCATTAAGTTGTCAAAGAGGAAAGGAGCATTCTGCAACTCAGAGCAGGTGTCTGAGCCTGGAGACTGCTCCTATG